ATAAAATCTCGCTATACCTTATTGCTAATCGTGTGATTTTGGGGGTTCTGATTTATGCCTGGCAATAATGTTTCTGGAATCTGATGCATCATAAAATATCCCTTATGGTTACACAGACTTTTTCATGACCAAGACTTAGGGCAAATGCTTTGGAGGCTGTGCCTCTGGGGTTGTGTCACAGAAGAGGGCTAAGTCAGGATGACTTCTGACCACAGAGAAGAAGGGTCAGTTTTCTCCCTCAGGTTCATGGTGCCCCTGGCTGGCTGCAGCAGGGCCAAGTTAACTAGTTTAATTTGAGCTCAGGTAAATCTATGCTACATGGAAACAATTTTTTTAAAGTATAGTACATACACAACCTGTGGTATAGTCAAAGTGATTGTTACAGGTGCTTGAGGATCAATTCTAGAGATAAGGGTGAGTACTCTTCCAAATGATACTGCTAAAAACAAACAAACAAACAAACCCTAAATTTTTCTGTTTGAGAAGGGTAGAATTGTCAAGATTTTTAACTTTTTGAGGTTATCATCTTTCCACTGAAAACAACAGTGAAAGTCCTACTGATTTCAGTATTGCAGGATTGAGCTGCAGGTGTTGCAGAGCACTTACACATTTAATCCAATGAACTCTAGGTTCCTTGAACTGGGATAAAAAATCTTTAATTTAGAATACATAAAATCATTTTTATGAGAGCTTTAACTTGTTTAAGTATAATCAGGTAGCTATGGTATAATTTAAATGGCTGATGTTTGTTATTTAATAATAGCAACTTACGTTTATATAGTGCTGTATATCCCAAAAGGATCCCAGAGGACTTTAAAGACTCAACCATAAAATACATAACAAAGTAAACATTAATTACAATTAGACCATCATTGGGAAATATGAAGATATTAAAATCTGGCAGTCTGAGGCTTGCTTTTGTTCTCATTTGAATTCATTAGCCAAGCTCACCCAGAGTGCAGATGGATTATTAGTGGTTCTGCCATATCTGATTTAAAAAAGGTTCTGTCCGATATTGTAGTGAGACCAGAGGAGGACAGAAAAGGGTGTAAAAACCCTTCTGACGTTGCCTGCAAAATCACCTCCACTCTTGTGAGTCACTTAAGTGAGATGTTATTTCTGAACTTTGAGTCACTTGAATTCAGCGCCCTCTTAGGGTGATTGTTAAGCTGCGTCAGGCTCTTTGAGGTTGGTTCCTTACTAGTTGGGAGGAAAATGAACAGGTTATCTCCTAAATGTCACACGTTTACAATACCAGAAAGAAAAGTCATACAGCCCTTTGTACAAACTGTTCTCTTTTTCTGTATGTAAACTATGAAAAAGTCTAAACTTCATCCCTGTTATTGCCATTATTGGATATCAGCATTAGCACCTCCCTCGGGTGAATGGAACAGTTTATACCCCTTGGAGTTGCTCTTCCAGACTTCTGTCGGCTCAAGTATTTGTGTTGTTTTTCCTTAACCAGACGTGGCCAAGGTTGGAGAAAAAGATAAAAGTTTGAAGGATGTTAATGTGTTGTACTGTAGCATCTCAGATGATTTGAATCTTTCTTTCTGTGGTAAGAGCACACAGGAACTGCAGGTAGGAATTGGAGACCCATGGCTGTAGGTACTTCATGGCCAAGTCCCAGGAAGGCAATGCCCTCCACTGAGAGCTCGCTCTCCAGGATGTACCAAACACCTAAAACAAGAATCCCCAAATGGTTTGGGAGGGCAATCACTGGAGTGATGGCACTACTCTCAGTAAAGTGCTGCTGATCACAAAGTAGTTGGAAAGTCCAGTCCTATCTTTGTGGATGGTTATTCTATGTGGTTTGCTCTGTATTGTTGCTTTTCTGACGTATAATTCTAGCCTAATCCTAAAAGATTCTCATAACTCCCTCAAATCTGTGTAAATTGTAAAGTTTTTGCAACTGTTAAGGCAAGTTGTTTGTTTGCACCCTAAGATAAAGTTAGATCGCTATTAAACATAGGCTTTACGATATCTGAGAGAGTATTGAAAATATGTATATATTTTTAATACAGTGTGCAAGAGCTCTTGCTCATCACGATGATTTTCAGTTTCTGAAAATATTAATACTCCCTGGCTTTTGGCCACAACATATGAAAACACTCTACTTAAATCATTTCTTCTTAAAATCATAGTTTTTCCTTCATCGCGGTGCTTGTCTTTAGTTTCTGTTTTTCTTTTTAACGCTCTAATCATTGTTTGAAAATTGTTCACCGATAGACTGCCTTGTTTTTCAGATTTGTAATGAAGCATGAGGGATTTTTAAATTTTGTGGTGAAAGTTTTGCATGGGTCTTACTGTAAACCTTTCACAATTTTATGTCTTTAATTTGTTTAGTTTGGGGAGATGGAAGAAAGGGAAATGATAACTGAGAGACAAATTTTCTGCTCCATTTCCTCTGTGCAGCAGATGATAACTCACAAATACAGATACTGTTATCCTCAAAACACTGAGGCCTAATTCATGACCACAGGTAGATCCACTGATTGCAGACTACAGACTAGGAAATAGGCAATAAACTTGCTACAGTATAGTCACAAGCCTGATTTCTGAGTAAAGTTGTACAAACACACTCAAACAAAGCTCAGGGTAGAACCTTCTGAAGTTCCCTCCCTCTACCACAATGATTTGCAAATCCCAGATCTCAAAATGAAAATAGTGGTTTAGGTCATATAGTTCTGATCCTCTTAGCACCAAACTTTTGGGATAAAAACAGACATAACTTCTGTGGAAATGTTATAAAAATGTTGTTTCTTTTATAAACTGGATTTCAGAGTAGGTTGGTGTATAACAACAATTGCGCTTATGCTCATTAGACCTTGGAACAGGACCCAGGTCTCTTCACACATCAGTGATATACAAACTACTAGAAGAATGCTGAGTTGGATGCTGTTCTATATGTCATGTTATGTTTGACACAACCTTGTTATAAATTCAGGTATATAGAACAAATTTACTTTCTGTATGGGAAAGTGTTGCTTTTACCTTACTGCTCCACAGCTTAATGTAGGGTAGGAAATACTCCCTGTTGTTCTGGTTAAAGTTGCCTTACTTTTTGAAAAGTCTGGATAGATCCTATCGGAAAAGAATTAGCTGTTTTGCCAACGGCATCATCTTCTCTGAGAGGAAACCTGTATTCTCCTTTTAGAAGGACTTTGGGGGAAAAAATGCATTTTTCTTTAAGTGGTCTGATTATTAGTTGGGATTTAGAGACTGCAGCCGTCATTATTAATCAAAATCATCCTGTGGGAGGATGCAGCAGGAAGGAGAAGCACCCTTCTTTCATTTACATAAACATAAATCTCTACAATCTGAGATTAAATAATCTCCCCAGGGTTACCAGTTATAGCCTTCTCTTCTCTGTGCCTATAGGCCATCTACTAAAAAATGATCCAGTTGCATGCTTATGTGGGTGACAGCCCTGTCACAGAATGCGACTGTTTTTGGTGAAGGTATCATTGGAAATGATTGAATTTTATGGAGTAAACATGGAAATGAAAGGGAGATTGGATGGAATCATTTTTTTTTTCTTAGATAAAAACAGATAACATACAAGTCATTTGAAATTCCAGTGGACTTATGTACAATGTGATAATTGCAATGGTTTTAGAAGGCAATAAAAAGGGAATGGAATTTAAGAAAGATTAACTCAAATCACAGCTCTAATTTTTCTGTGGTTTTTGTTTTGAGAAGAGAGGCAATATGCACTTTGGTATAAAGAATGACAACACATTAGTGGAAGTACATCTTTAAAAGTAAGCAGTCTTTGTGTGTGAGAGCGTGAAACTGCTGAAAAGAAACTGCTACTTTCACGCTATCATATACAAAACTCATGATGAGCCTAGCACTGAAGTGTAAAGAAAGTCTCAATTGTTCGTCCAAGAAAAATAGCACATGACTTCTAGTATAAATGGCTCTGGGTTTAACTGTTTTACAGTTTGCTATCAATCTGTAAGACTCAAAGGAGGAGAGATGATGCATATGAGAACATGAAAGTCCTGGGATCTGGGTATGGAAATTTTTTCAGAATACCCTTTGCAAAACGTCTTTAATACTGTGAAGAAATATTTTAGAATCAATGTCAAGAGTGGGAAATAAGTGGAAGCTGTTATTACCGCACATTCTATAAAGCATCTCCTTTGTATGTATAATGTGGAGGAAATATAAATAATAGCTGATTAGTAGTCTTGACTTAAAGCTCTCTGTTTCCTCTCCGTATTGGATAAAGCTCCTACTGATGGATCAATCATTTAATCAATCTACTAACGTGGCCTTCAGCACTATAGTATCTGAGTGCCTCCCAGTGTTGGAACGCTCAATACTGCTCGGTTTTTCTTCAGTTACTCGGTACTCTTTAATTTGATTTTGTTCTTAGTTACTTTGATGTAAAACTAAAGCTACTCCATTGATTTTTGATGGGACAAACCAGGGTTTACGAGCTGAAAAAGCAGAACCGAACCCTCTTCTTGCAGTTCCCCAGCTGTTATTAAGCGTAGTAATAACACTTCTTGGATTTATCCGTGTAGTCTCCTCTTTTGTCACTGTTCCTGCAGCATCTCCCCCCAACCCCATCCTCCGCTGCTGCTTTGGGTGTGATCCAAAGGCCATGGGAGTTGATGTCAGTCCTAGTGCTCTCGATGCCCGTGGATCGGTTTTAGCTTGTCCTTTTCCTCCTTTTCTCCCCTCTCGAGACCCCAGAGGCTCCTGTGCCAGTTTACTGCTGCCTCAGTAGAGACAACTGATTGTAATTAAAGTTACACGTATTCCTGTGTTTCCAAGTATAAGCACCTCACCATACTGGGACCTGATCCCTCTCTTTTCCTTAATACCCGTCACCTGGCCCAGTTTAGTTTTCCCCTCGACAGCACCCTCCCCTCCTCTGGATGCTCCTGGGGTCTGTTGCTCTGACTGCAGCGCCTACGGAAAAGGTTTTGCCGGAGGTAATTGTGGCTCGGGCTTTGATACATGTTTTCTTTTTTTCTTCTCTTCAGTGTTGCAAGCAGAAGAAAACAGCAAGAAGAGAAGTTGAGAACTTAAACTGGGAGACTTGGCAGGTAGGAGGTGTGTTTCCTTGCTCGCAGCGGGGATGGGTTTCTGGAAGGGCTCACGCGAGCGGGAAGCCGGCTGGCTTGGCACTTGCCGAGTCAGGTTCGGCTGCCTGCTCTTGCGCTGGCTGCGGGCAAGCGCTTCGCTGCGCCGTGGCCTCCTCCCTCCTCTGCGGAAGGGGGGCAGAGCTACTTCCATAACCCAGGGTGGTTTGCGAAGAAACGCAATAAAGGCTGCGAAACAGCGGGATGTTGTAAGTGGTGGCAGCGCGTGTAAGTTACTTGGACAAAGTCGCCTGATGCCAGTAGAGGAACTGTGTCATGTGGACGACTGGGCTGTTGTTTGTGTTCTTGTAAAAAATGTTTTAATAAGTTCCTTGTGTGATATCTATAGCTTTCCTGCGTTTTCTTAATTTGAAGTCTCATTTGATTGTTTTAGTCTCATTTCCTGTTCTACATGGTTTGCAAATAGGGTGGAGGTGAAAAACTATAAAATCAAGATGCAACACTTGCCTTCATATAAAAACTGTGTTGAAAGCACAATAAGAAGTTTGGGAAGCCAAGCACTGGTCGTTAGGAACGGTCTTTGTGAACTGCCGTTCTTGGAAGGCTTCCTTGAGGCAGATCTGAGGACAAAAGGCTTTTCTCAGGGACAAAAGCTACAGCTAGGCTGCCAGATTTCAAGCCTTCCTCCAAAGCTTTGCCGTGCAGGGGTTTTTCAGAGGAAGAGCTCAAAGAATTTGAAGCGTAATATTCCTTAACCTTGTTGCTGGAAAAAGTTGTACCACTTCCAAAATGTTCAGCCTGAGGCAGTCATGCATCATAGATGAATCAGCCTAAATGGCAAAATATTGGCGGGTTATGAACAACTGCAGGTAGCGTATTTAATGTGCTGTGTCAAGTAATCTTAATAACAGGTGTAGCTACTGATCCACTCGATTATATAACCCGTCCTGCAGTCTTTTGTAGGTTCTTACTGAGGCAAAGCTATTGATACATGAGATTTTCCGGGTTGAGACTGCCGTATTTGGTCCTGTGACGTTGCCCTAAAAAGATATAGCTTATATAAACAGGCAAGGTTTCTGCTTTAGGAATGACTGATGTTTGTACTTCTGTAGCTGCTTTTCATAGCACACGGTGACAGCAAGCACGCTTGATTTTCTCCCCCTCCGACAAATTTTCAAGAACATATTTTAATTTCGATATTCAGACATCCAGAAGATGTAAATGACACTAAAATGAGTATTGCCACATTTGGCATTGCCTGCTGTGTCCACCTGTCGTGCTTTGTCTGACATAGAGATAAGCAGCTCTGAGGGGCAGCGAGTGCCTTCGTTACTCGTCTGCACAGCGCTTAGTGTAATGGTGCTGTGCTGGCTTTTGGAGGGGCTTCTAAGCGCGGTATAACATGAGAAACACGTAACTGCTGTGACTGAGAGTTTGCAGGCACATAAAGCAAGCTTGGTTTCCTCCCAAAGGTCAAAGGAAGTTCTTTGCTGATAGAGAATAAATCATTTTGTAATCTGAAATAATTTGGTCCCTAACACTTAAAATAAAGCTCATCAGTACCAACTAAACTGCAGTATTGTAAGAACAGATTTTTAGTTGCAAAATTTTCAGTATGAGAATGACGTGTTTGTTTTCACTGTGTATGTCATTAATAGATCTCTAACATGAGCTAGACATGAAGATGGTTAGGGATGTGTTGTTTGGTTTAGAGGAAGTTATTTTCTCTGTGTGTGGGGGGGGGTTGTTTTTATTTTTTTTAAAATTGCTAATGCTTTCTCAGTTTCTTGAAATTTTCAGAACTGTATAATGGCACCTGGTTGCTGCTGTGAAGTTGCATCATCTCAGAGCAAACCAGTGTAATGCATCAGGTTGTCTCACTGTGTGTGCTAGGTCAAGTGTTTAGTATTAAAGTTAGTTTCTGTGCTTTTTCTTAACAGTTTAGATCTCTGCTAGGGACTGGTAGTTAAAGTATGGCAGACTTCAGATAATATTTCACCCTCAGCCTCTGTTTCCATTGCCTTTGATCAGAAGGCATTCAGCTCTCAAATACTTACGTATTATCTTTTCACATTATACTTTTTTTCACAAATGTGCCCATTCACACAGTAGAAAGAGTTAAGGCTTTCTTGTTATCGTTCCTTAGCATATAAATGTTACCATAAACTCCAATCAAATTTGGACTGTAAGTGCAAGTAAGAATACAGAAACACAATCCTGCTACAAAGAGTTTACAGCTTAAGTGATAACAAGTGACATGGAAAAAGTGAAGACAGCTGTCAAAACCAGCATTTACATGTTTATGCAAGTATACGTAGAGATATACATAGCTTTGTTATCCCTGCAGTTTAATTTAACATCTTTTCTTTGTCATATTAAAAAAATGACAGGAGATAGCTTAATCAATAAAAATTTGAACCATGTGGCCAAACTTGTTTTACTGATGAAAACGAAAAGCAGCCAGAGATTGAAGGGGAAGGAGTTGGATTTTTTTCTGGACAGGTTGTCTTAAAGTTATTAAAAACAAAATTTTCAACCTCTTCCCAAATAAAGTATAAATTTTTATGACTTTTTCTTTCTTTATGATTTTGATGAGAAAGAATGGGTATTAGTACAGTTGCAGAAACTTCCTCCATGCAGATGTGGTAAGGCACGTTAACTCTGTAGTCTGCAATTTGGACAGCTGTCGTAGGCTGGAGAGTATAGCTTTTTTTGAGGTGATGAAAAGGAGTTAGTCTGAGATTATATGCTGGCCTGAGATATTGCTTCTAGTTTGGTAAATAACATAGATGTGCTCAGGCAAATTCTCATTATGTTCCCGTTGTCTGTTGCAGATACATTTTAGGTCAACTTGAGGATTTGGGTCTATGTTGTATGTGGCAACGGTGAGAAGTAGGTTGGGAGGAATTGCTGTTACTATATTACTTCCCCTCCATAAAAGTCTCAAAATGAAACCTACTGCTAAACTGGTAATGTGCGAGCTCGCAATATTTGCATGCATTTCTGAGTGTGGGTGGGAGAGGGAGGAAGCCCCTCTTTTTGTACACCATTTATTTGCTGTGTCATCCTGAGTACTGAGATATTATTTGCAGGGATGGCTTGAGTTTTGTTTGGTTTTGTGCTGCTTTTTATTAAAATCTATGACTGAGGCTTGTTTGCAGGAGTGGTTTGTGAGGGGGCACCTCTGCATGTGACTGATCAGTACACTTGCCTGCTCTAAGGATTGTCATATTTGTGTCAAAGGAGCAAGTCTGAATTGTATTTTGTAATGTTTTTTTCAGAGTGTTCATATGCTAAGGTGATTACTAGTATATCTTGGTGGATTTCAACTGCAAGAACCTCTGGGTTGCCTAAGGAGGAGATTAGGATGATTTTTTAGCACTGAAGAGACTTTGGGGAACTTTCTTTCCTTGTCCCTTTGCATTGCATTAAGCAGACGCTCTAGAAGTTAAGAATCAGTGGATGACTATTCCTAGATGACCCAAGTTAAAACCACGCACATCCTCCACTGATATACTTGTGAGAATGGGACTGAACAGAAAATCGGGAAATGATAACTGAAGAAGCTGCGTGCAGCAGAAAACATGCATGAAATGTTCTTTTGCATGTCCTGTTCCAAGAAGCAGAAGCTTTTGTTTTTTCTTTCCTTTAAGTTTCAATGCAACCAAAAAAAGCTTTTTTGTAAGTAATCTTCATGGGTTTGAGGATCACTTTAGGTAGGATGAGTGGTTAGCTCTTGCCTAAATATTGCGAGCAATGTAAATTTTGTGACTCTAAGAAAACAGAAGAGTAGATCACTGGTCAAATGTTATGTCTCCCTAAAAGCAGCACATTGCTAGGGCAGACAGATGTGATGAGATGGGGAGCAAGAAGGTAGTACTAGAATCTGAGAGAACTGTTATAAACCAAGGAATGCCTTTGGAACAGCCATCCAAAACTGTAATCCCATAGCTTATAAAACTGTTTCTGATTTCATCTTGCCAGTGAGCTAGTTATATATATATGTGTAGCTGGATTCTTTTTTCCTCTTTTGTTTTATGTCTGAGTGTTCCTGGTTGTTTTCCTGCTAACATATTTGCCTGCTTTTTATAAATGCTTGTTAATAAAAGTTCTAATGGTTAAAAAGCATTGCTAAGTCACACCTGAAGATAAGCTATTCTTTTGCCTTCTTATTGCTTTCCTTCCTCCTATGAACAAGTTTTTTTTTTTTTTTTAATGTTTTGCATGGGAACTTGTTGGTAGGAGCATGATTTTCTTTCTGAAACCCAGATAATGGGAGTAAGTGAATCAGTAGTTAAAAGCCCAAGTATTTCATTCACGCATCCCAGTGGGAGGTCCAGCCGCTGTTTCCAGCCCTCGCCAGCCGGATCGGGAGTCTCAACCAGCCCTGGCGTGGCTGGGCCAGCTCGGCTATCAGCCCAGACGGGGCAGGGTTTCAAAAAAGGTTTCCCTTCCTTTGGCTTTGAGGCTTGCATGTGGGTGTTAACTTCGTGCTTTTTTTTTTTTTCTGAAAGGGGAAATACTCTTTATTTAGGGGAAAAAAGGAATCAAGAGCTTTTTTTCTGGTTTTCCTTTTTTCCATGCATGTTCAGTTTTTTTTTTTCTTTCTTCTCTTTTTAATACTTGGAGGTGTAAGTCCAGCTTACCTGGAAGCAGTGTACATCTGGACTGTTTTTCAGAGGTGATAAGTAAGTCTGTTTTTGAAGCTGATGTGGTGGGTGGGCACTTCAGAACCTGTGAAAATCAGCTAAGTGAAGAATTTTTCAGTTTTCCTTAAGCGTCATTGCAAAGTTAGTTAAAATTCAAAAAAAAAAAAAAAAAGTTCATGCTATGGAGCTGTTACTCTTCACCAAAATACTGATCAATGTGATGGACAAGTAAATTCCTGCTTCATCTCTCTGGCCATAACTGTGACCATTTACAGACTTTTGGGAACTTTTTGTCTCCCTTCCTGCCTCTGGTAAGAGAGCTGCTCAGTGAAGGAACGAGGCTACCTTAGTTATCAAATTCAGCTCTGAAATGCAAGTAGCATTCATGGTGTTTGTCCATGTGAAAAATCTTACTGTTTTTCATTTCCAGAGTTTTAATCATTTTAAAGAAAAAGATATGAAACGTAGATTAATTTAACCACGTGAATAAGTAAGCACGCATAAACACAGATTGATTTAGTCAAGCAAATTAACTGCTTAACATAAGTAAGTGAAAATGTACACGTGTTTTCTCTATGAAAGCTTTGGGGTTTTGGTCACAGAAAGACGTGACCAAAGAGAACTTGACCCTCTTGTTTCTGCATACAGGGTAAGACCTGCCCCAAAGATGTTAGCTCTCGTAGCCGATGCAGGTGTGTGTTTGCTCTACAGCTCCTCTGGAAGGAGCACTTCAGTTTTTGGTGCTTATGCTTCGTGGATCAAAGTGCACTTTGACTGTGGCTTCTTCTGAAGGAAACAAGATCTACCAGGAAGTTATCTGGATGATTTGTGTTGGTTATCTGCCACATGAGCTCACCACAGAGTAGCTCACAGTTGTTGTGCAGTTTCCTGATACGATGCAGGGAACTTCAGGTGCTAGAATGGGCCTGTGTGGTCAAGGTTGAGAGCAAGAGAAAGGAGAAATACTGAGCAAGAGCTCAGAAACTAATTTCCGGTCACAAGGCTTAGTATAAAATGAAGCATCTATAAAATAGGATTTCAGGATTGAGCTTTTGTTGTTACTGTACGTACAATTAGAAGCTTTCCGGTTTAAGTCTGACCCATCCATACTAATATGCTGTCACCAGTATCGTTAGCAAGCAAAGTGTTGATAACGTAGTCAAAGGCACAGCAGAGTTCTGGCTCTTAAGTGTCTGGACTGACTCCCAACATTAGAAATAGGAGTCAAACGGCCATCACTTCTCCTGTGCTAAGATACACCCCACCATTAGCAGTCGGAAGGCAATTTTAATAAAATACATAGCCCTGCTGAGCTGGTCTCAGAAGATAAATAAGCAATGTAGAAAAGAAGCTTTTGTTTAAAAGTAATTATTTAAACTGCGTTACAGGTAATTTTCCTTTACCAGTAAAGCAAATGCTATCAGAATTTCAATAATAGCTGTGTATTACTTATCTGCATAACATGATATTGTCATTTCCAGGAGCTTAAAATACTGTTTTATTTTCATTTCTGTCAAATGCAAGGGTAAATGGGACCTGAATATACATATAAACATGGGTTTTGTAACTTATTTTTTGTGAATATATTTTATTTTCTAACATTTTTGTATAATAATATAACAATCTAATGATAGTTTCCTAAACTGTGGACTTGAATTATGGGACCAACTTAGAACAGTAGAGAGAGGAGCATTTTCTTATTTTCTGTTTTGTGTAAGTAAACTGCATTTCACAGTTAACAGAAACACCATTCTTTGAAGAGGTTTGTCAATAATAACCATGACTGCATGGGAATTTTATAAAATACATGCAAACATAGCCAGACACTCAGTGCTTCAACCCATAAGTAGCTCAGAAAAAGCTGAGGTGTCATTTTTACCTGAGAGATTTTTCACCTCCAAAAATGAAATGGGTAACTCTGGCCTATATTCTCCATTTGTTATCTCAGAACTGTCCATGCAGTGTAACCCTCTCAAGTGATCATAAAGTGGTTTATTATAAGGAAGAGAAATTAACTAAAAGAGGAAAAGGAAAGCAACGTCTAAGTTTTCTTCAAGAAGTAACTTCTCTTTTTCTTTATCAGCGCTTTCACTGAGAGGATGGGCATTCTGCTTCATTGAAAACATACTATTTTGTAGTGTTATTAGGATATTTGTGAAATTTGTACTTCAGTTGTGGAGGAAAAAGGGATTGTTGCCTTGAGCATTTACAATCTCAAGCCCTGATTGTGTAGCTGAGTCTGCGTGGGGTTATCGCCTGTGAGTTCTCGGTTGCAGCTTTTGCTTCTAGCGGAGAGGGCTGTGGCACAGTTTGACTACCAGGATATATGGGGGAAGATGCCTGAGTGCTCTAAGTGCAGCTTTCAGCCCAACAGTATGGGGCCTAAATTCTGCCCGAGTCCCTAATCTAGTGTTTCCTGCTCGGTATCTCTAGGCCTTCAGACACATCTAGCCAGTAGGAAATAGAGGCACAGGGATTAAGTGGATTTTTAGGCCATTTACATCCGGCCGTAGTCTGTCTGCGCTAGAGTTTCCAATTACCCCAAATGGAGAAAACAGCATTTCCCTACTTCACAGAAGATTTGTGAGGATCCGTGTGTTTAAGATTGTGGCAGAAGGATATATCTGTAACGTGCCTAGGTAATAGATCAACTTAAATACTTTTAATAAAAGTGGACACAATAATTCATCTCTATGTCACGGGAATATTGTGATGCGTAGTTTTGTCAAGAAATGTGCAAGTGGTTGAGATTTTTTGATTAGAAAATGATACTGTTATAACTGTGTGAGTTATTAAAGCGTCTGCTTTCGCACTGAATTTTACTTGTTCACCTACCCACGCTAGAATTTTCATCCGCAGCAAATAACAACTTTTGTCCCACCTTTGGAAAGTTTCATCCCCTTTTCAAGCAATACTGACCCTCGACGTGTTTTCTTCGGCTCTGCCGTTTGGAGCGAGGTGGTCCTCCTGCCCGGGAGCGGCACGCGAGGCGGGTGAGCCGGCTGCTGGTGCTGGCAGAGCCGGCGCTGCTCTGTGGCCAGGTGGGACTGGTGCTGCCTCGCCAGCCAAAGAGCTCGCCTAAGACCAAGGTAGCGTAGCTGTTTGGAGCTGGCAGGCAGGAATCGAAATGCCATCGTCTGGCTGCGGAAAGAGCTAAAGATTTGTCTCCAACCGGCGACAGGAGCCAAGGTACTGTCGCCCGTTTTCTAATTTTAGAGGAAACACTGGCACCGATCTTACCTAGACAGACTCGTGTTATTTCTGCCCAGCCCAATCTGCTGCTGCAGGTTCTGTTCCAAGTTACTCAACCCCGTTTCTCTGCGGCTTTCAGGAAACGGTGTGGTGCGGGGGGGAGAGGGGAAACCCCTTCCTCATTTCAGGAGACTGGTGAAAGTTCTGAGTAGATTTCGAGACAGTAAAACTCATACTTAATATTAGCTCTCTAAAAATAAGCTTTTATGGGAATGTTATTAGTAATGCAGTGATTGATTTATTAAGTCCCTTTGAAGTGGAAGGCTTCTGTGACAATATGTACGGTGCCTGCATATAGGAAGAGTTTGTGTGTCCTATCACTTCGTGGCTTGGGTGCGGTTGCAGTACAGAAGCAGAAGTGGGTAGAGGAGTCAGCCGAAGGGAGAAGAGAGTGGTGGTTCTCTCCTCCGAAGTGACTGGAGCTTGTGTGATCATTACACAGCGTTTTCAGTCAAATTGCTCTGGTCTGGGGTTTTGATCTTGGACATAAGTCTTCAGGAAAAGGTATAAAGGGGCATGAAATAGCTTTTTGTTTTGTTTTTCCTTCTCTCCAGGTTCACAGGTCATCTTTGCAGCTTAGAGGCTCTGCTCTGCAAGGCATTCACATAGGCACCCCCCTCTCTGCCTCTTGCAGAGTTGCGTGATATTCAAGGTATCACTAGAAAGGCCTACAGTAGGGAGCTGATCAAAAAAACCAAGGCTGATGTCAGGGTAGGTTTTACTGACACTCTAACTAGTTCTGTTTTCTCAGAACACTCTAAAAAAGTAAGTATAGTTTATATGTATAGAAGTGTGCATATGTGTATATATAAGTTTGTGTGTGTTTCTGTACTCATTTTATCTTTGAAGAAATCAAGGCATAAAGAAGAGGCTGCAGAAGGTTTCTGTAGCAGAACCAAAAGTCGCTCAGAAGTGTGCTTTGGGATGTAGTTTGGCGATAACGCTTAACCTGATCTAAGGGGGGATGCTGCTGAAAGGGGCAGCCCTGCTCCCTCTCTCCCTCCTGCTAGGGCTACACGCTCTCACCGTTTCCCTTGAGCCAGCCATGTGCTCCCACGGGGAGCCTGTTCAGGAAGTTAAACAAACAGAAAATTAACTTTGGAAAACAGTGAATAGTTTTCTGCTGGTTTAGCTCCCTGAACTGGTTCATCGCGAGGTCAGACAAATGCCA